GCTGATGTTGTTGCGCCCGGTTTCCCTCCCTGCCGTATGCTATACTCCTTTATGTATGTCCTTGTATTGCCTTCGGCCTCTGTGCTGTGTTTCTTTTTATTTTTCATGACCTCCCTGCCTGCTCTGCTGTGTTGGGTACCTTGATCTCGCTTTGCTGTTGCCTTTGTTTTTTTGTACGGCTGGCTGTCTGCCCATCTGCCGCCTCTTTGCCCTGTTTGCTCCGTTACTCCCATGCCCTGGTGCGCAGTGCCTGGTGCTGGTACGTTACGTTACCCTTTCATTTTTTCTTTCGGCGGGTGTGGGAAGCGTCGTCCTTTATTTTTATTTTTTTTGTTATTTTTGTTTTGTTTTATTTTGATCGGTGTCCGAGGGCTCTTTTCTCGAACAGTAGGTGCGATACCTATTCTTTTCTTTCTTTCGATCATTTTGTTTTCTTTTTCCGAGTGGTTTGTATCCTATTTTTGTTTTTTTTTTTTCTCGCGGCGTCGTATGTGCCGGGTTTTGAGACCACGGGCTCCCCATTTTTTGTGGACTATAGAGCTAATGTGAGAAACAACAACAACAACAACAACACCTTCCCACGTCCAGAGATCGCACGTACAATCGAGAGAATCCGTCGAGGGCGTGAGGGGCTACTGCTACTACTGTGCGTTACCAGGATGGTTCCCCGCGGGATCGGTTCAGGTTGCGTACTTGCGCCGCGATACTGACTGTTCGCAAGAGCCATGCCCTGCCTGCTGTTGCTGATGCTGGTCGGTCTCTCCCGTCAAAATGATGACCATCAACGTTTGTTGTATTCGGTTCATGCTGTATGTAGTAATATCCCGTGATGATGTATAATACAATATATGTGTGCTTGCTTTCATTTGGCGGGAAACTCGTTAGATTTGAGACCAATGTGGCGGGCAAGTTGTGATCCTGACGCATTATTTCCCATCTGTCTTGGGGCCGTTTTAAACGGACCGACTTTTTGTCAACATTTTTGAAAGTGTCAAAAAAATGGAACCTGTATGTAGGCGTTTGTCCATTTTTTTCAAAAATATTTGGAACGAAGTTGGGCGCGAAAACTTTGCTCCACGTCGTTCCAACTTTCTGACAACCCTCTCAAAGTATTTGGAGCACTTTCCAAAGTACCCTTGCAGAGGCACGCGAGGGCTGCTGCGTCTGCACCACGAGTGCCCCTCACCGTAGAAAGTCAGCTAGGGTTGTGTGTGAGTCATCTGTCGCTGTCGCTATTGCTATCGTCGCTGTTGCCAACGTTGACGATGCTGTCTGCTGTTGCTGTGTCGTCCGAAAAACGGCGGTCCGCCATGATGGCTTGCAGTTGTTGCTTCGCGTCCGCCGCTTTGTTTTTTCCTTTTCCCGGGGGGGTAGGAGCAGTGGTTGCCACCCCTCGCCGGCTGAGTGTTGGTGGCGGCAGCGCCTCCCGTGGTAACATGAGTGTTCCCCGAGATGCCAGGCAGCAGCACTATCTTGCTGGAGAGCAAGCCTCCACCGCCTACGGCGGCACCGAGAGAGCCCGTCTGCTGGAATTTCGCCGGGGTTTTGGTCTGCCGGCCACGCTGGGTGGTCGTGATATCCATGTCGGTGTCCATGATGTCGTGTTTTCCGCGGTTTGTGTTGTGTCGTGTGTGTTGTCTCGAAGTGAGCGCTACAACTCACGGACGGCGTCATTTTTTTTTACACAAGTTGCACAAGTCCACGTCACACGTTTAAAATGACTGCACACAGGTTCCAAGTTTTTGAAAGACAAATGTCGAAAATTTTGACAAAAAAGTCGGTCCGTTTAAAACGGCCGTTAGGCCCTTCTCTATGGAAACAGAATCTTGCAAAACCTTGGCATTTTGACCCAAGACTTTTTTTAATATTTTTGACAATTTCGGACTCAAACATTCTCCGAAATAAGGCAACATATTTTGAGTTAAGCCGTCGTTCTGAGGATCGCTCCTGACAGTCTCGCCAGAAGCCACAACAGGAAAAATTTTACACATTGAAGAGTCGAGGAGGGCTTGTGTTGTGAAAAAAATTGATTGCTGTTCAAAAATGTTTCACGATTTTTCGATCAAGCACCTTTCTTCGATCGAAGTAACACATCACACGCACCACCGCACGCACACAATGCAGTCTGCTGATAACATGGCAGCGCGGCCAAAGAGAAGGCCAGCGCCCAGCGAAAAGCCTTCGAGTTGGCGCGCCACCAACACAAAAACAGGGAGGCTGCACGGTAGGAAAGTTGGGTATGTTTCCGGCTGGCTTGAGGTCAGCAACACGCCCGTCAGATTGAGGCAAGGGGGAGGAAGAAGAGCGCACGAACCTAGAGGTGGTGGCAACGCGGCCAGCAAAGAAAGAAGAGCAGAGAGGAGGAAGAGCACGTATTGGCCTCCTGGTGAAGGAGGGCGCGTCCTTACGCGCGCAAGAGTATTTTCTCTGGTGTCTACTAGAAAGACGAGCGTTTGACTCGCATGTGCCTCCCCGTCCCCCCGTCTCTCTCCCGAACGCTTGAAACGCGACATAGCACTTCGTTCCGAGGCTGTCGTCGGCCAGTGTACAGTAATCACTCTCTGTCTCCGTACCGGTGTGATGCGATTTCGTATGCTGGGGTTGAGGGAGCGACGCAGACGCGGACATGCGCACGCACGCACGCACGCACACTCAACAGCAGCAGCACTGAGAGCCCCTTGTCATCAAGCAAGGTGCACAGCTAGGTGTCACGTAGCGCACCGCGAAAAAACAACAGGACCTACTTGCGGACGGAGGAAGTTCGTCGGAGGACTGTTGACCCACAGCCAATCACATGAAGCCGCTTAAATCTGAAAATTTCACCCGCACGAAGTTTCCAGGAAACTGTCCTATCTCAAAATCTGCTTCGTTGAACCGAAACATTTGTAGTCACAGTCCGAAACTGTGTTTTTTCTCTTTTTCTCTATTTTTCTGTGCCTGATGGCCTTGTTGCTGCTTGCGTTGTGAAGTATCAAGATTGAACCAAGGGGAATATACCTCATTCTCTCCGGCCCGCAATGGTGACCCCTACTCTCACTTGTTACCTCGCATAGCGCGCAGAGGGAGTGAAGGGCTCCAGAATATATGCCTTTGATTTCTATTGACTTGCGGACTCCTCGGGGCCATTTTACTTGAGTGTACCTATTTAGGGTAAGTTAGCCTGCGACCACGGGAATCGACCACGTCGAGTGTTGTTTCATTACGGGCATGGGAAGGTACTGGGTAGAGAGAGATCGGAACGGTTTTTAATGTGAAGACAACAACAACAACAACAACAACAACAACAACAACAACAACAACAACAACAACAACAACAACAACAACAACAACAGCAACAACAACAACAACAACAACAACAACCGTCGCCTCGGTGGTTTAGTGGTATCCTCGTAAACCGCTAATCGCAGAGGTCGTGATGATTTCGAATCCCCATGGGGTGAAAAACTGCTAAATTTGCGGGTGAAAGCGAAACATAGCTGAAAAGCTCTTGTGAGTACCAAACTCTGACGTTAGCACCGTTGGCGAGGGAAAGGGATGGCTGGACCCTTCTCGCGATAAAATTAAAATTCAGCACGCACCGCAGGAGGAAGTTGGGGCTACAAATAAAACGAAGAAAAAAAAACCTCCATCCTATGTGACCCTGGATTGTTGTAGTTGTACAAAAAATACACTGACAAGTGTAGTGCTCTACATACGCTGAAAAGGTGTAGTACAGAACCGGCCCGCACTTAAGAACCTCTTATTTGGAGCGAGGCTCGCTTCTTGTTGGCTGCCCCAAGCCGAGCACAAGCTCTTATTTGCCAGGTTCTTATTTCGTTGTCCAGTTGTCTCCAGAAACGGTGTTCTTGTTCTTATTTCATCATCGATTGCTCAATTGGTGCACTACTCAACTGCACTCGACGCAGAGTTTCATACCCGCAAACACCCCCCCATGGGGCAACTGTCAACCGTCTTGGTCCACAAGAGTGACGTTGGGGGTGCGTACCCTTCCCGCCCTACTGACGCTCTCAAGCAAAACCCATGAGCCTACCGCCGCGTCCGGATCTCCGCTGTACTTGTCTAAGGGCAGCTTCACATTGCGCGTACTGTGGTCTACTTCCAGCTGCACACAGTAGTCGTACAGGTGGCGCTGCGGAGATTGCTGAATGATCAACCCACTGAACCACCCCATGCCCAGCCGAACAAACACTCCACGTTGCAAAAGCAATCTGTCAAGAGCAGCGGGGGTAGATTCTTGAAGGCGAAAGCCCGCCGGGATCTCCATTCCCTGCGTCTCGTCCTCCGGGTCGTCTGGGTCCATGCTGTCGTCCTCGTCCAAAAGAGCTAGCTCGTCGGTCTGGGATTGAGACATGTCTGCGACGAAGGGTACCGTGAAACACGAGAAGGAACGTACGGGTGTCATCGCCGTTACTCAACTGAAGTGAACACACCATTTGTTCGTAGACGTGACGCGGAAACAGAATATCAGCAATATCCCAAACAGCACAAGAAAAAATTAACAAAAAGGACAATGAATTAACTGAAGTCTATGTAGTGCCAATCAAACTTACTGTCGTCGTCTTCATCGCTGTATCCAGCGCCCTCCATGCCCTCCCCGCTGTTGGCACCGTTGCGCTCATCCCCGACGACCGGCTCGCGCCTTCCGGCGCCCTCCTCCTCCCGCCCCTCGGGCCCATCGCTGCCGTCCTCCGAACCTCCTTCGTTCTCGCTGGAGTCTTCATCGTTTGCGAAGGTGTACGGCTGGTCCAAACCCTCCAAGGTGATTCGATCATCGCCTGAGCCGTCCACGGTCATCGCCATCCCGCACTTTTCGAAAAGGCGGTGTCGGTACCCCTGATTGCTGTTGAGTTTTGCCATGGCCGCTCCCGTCCATTGAGTGATCAGTACGCGCCGGTCAGATGCTGTCAGCGACGCGGTTTCCCACCTCTCGATGTTATCCGCCTGATCGAGCCACCTGTCCATCTCGTTACCAACTTCCATCTTGAGAAATCGTCCGGCTCCTGCATCAACTGGCTGCACCTCGTCCGTGCACTCCGCAGGGCCAAGCCAGGCGATAGTGTTGCACTGCTTCGCAAGATACCCCTTGAACTCGTCCGTGGTCTGCGCGTGCAAGTTGTCCATTATCAGAATGGACCTCGCCTTGGGGAGCTCACCCCGCCCGCGGATCAGGCCTTCGCGGTACGACCTCTTGGCCCACTCCATGCAGAACTTTTGGTCCGCCCACGCATTCTCCTGGAAAAACACGTCCACGTCCTTGTGGTACGCGGCTTTCTCCACCGGCGAAATCCGCTTCCCCTGGCCTCGGAAAATCACCGAAATCCGCATAGTCTTCTCACCCGGACCAAAGATGACTTGCATGGTGCACTGCCTTTTCTCTAGGCCACCAAAGGGCTGCGAGATGGCTACACGCAACGCGCCTGTCTTTTCCCACGTGCTGATCAGCCCGTTCACGAATGGCAAAGGCACTTGATCCACATTCCAACGCTCCCAGAGCTGGAACTGACCGTACTTGGGA